ACACACACACACACACACACACACACACACACACACACACACACACAGATGTGTTTTCACAGCTGCAGATGTTACAGTGCGCTCCTTGGTGAGTCCACGAGGACCAAACAGCTGATTTTCTCCTGACTTGAACACGTTCGATCAACGTGCTCACGCTGAAGAGTTTAGTTTTTGAACTAAAAGTCATTTAATTCTTGACGTCTCCGTAAACACCTGGATCTGTTTTCAGATTTTCTTCTTCTTTCGGTGGCTCCCTTCTGCAGCGGTCGTCACGGCAAACTAACTCGCAGGAAGGCTTGCCGATTGTTTTTGAGCCAGATGTTCTTCCAGACACCGAGCCACCACAGCCTCTGTGTGGAGCAGAGAGCTGCTTCGAGGGCGCCCGGGGGAGCAGAGGGTGGGGGGTAAGGGCCTTGCTCAAGGGCCCAGAGTGGGACAAATGAGGGTGGAGGCAGGTGTGGGTGCTTCACCTTTCCCAACCACATTTTGATGTCTGTCTGGGGAGTTGAACCGGCAACCTTCCAATCACAGGCCCACCTTCTCTAACCACTGCGCCACCACGCCCTCTTTCAGAGGTTGACATGGTTTAATTAAAGTGGTTCCAGTGTTTCCTCCACCCTGCCCTGTCAACCGGACCCCACCCCCACCGTCTACAACTGCTGGCACTGACGTAGCGCTAAGCTAGCAGCGCACCATACAGACTCGCTAGCTAAAAAGCTACGACTATGGAGTAGCGCTCCGTCAACAACAGTCCTGGACGAGATGAGCGCCCTGCCAAGGCAAGTAAACCAGGGGAAACACTGGGTCTGGTCCTGGTCCTGGTCCTGGAGGGCCACTGTCCTGCAGGTTTTAGATGTTCCTCAGCTTCAATACGCCTGGCTTTAAGTAACCAGACTTCTGCAGAACTTCAGAAGAAGTGTTTCGCTGAATGCCGAGTCATCATTCACACGCTGCGTCTGAACTCTTTATTTTAAATTTTTTATTCGTGTATCTAAACGTTCAGGTGGCTCGACGCAGCGAAGACGTGTCAGAGCTCCCGCAGACTTTTGTCAAACTTCACAACTGAAGGACACGCGTGTCCAACGTGTTTTAGAAGTCCTTTGACCAACAAAAGTTGCCACGAATGAGTGATCACTGTTGGACACGTTTGAGAAAATACAAATACGAGTTGTTTTTACCGCAACACATTTCTGTCGATGGTGTTCAGGTGTTTTCAGGTGAGAGGAGCGTCCTAAAATATCACCTGACAACAAACACTGACTGCAGCGTTTCGCCTCAACGCTGAACTACAGAAACACGTTGTTGTGGTAAACAGCTGCTCTTTGATGTGTTGTGTGTGTTTGTGCGCATCAGCGGACTGAACCAAAGACGCATTCATTGTCTGAAAGGAGCCAGGTGAGCTCGTCGGCACGGCAACAGGCAGCGACTCACCGAGCAACGGACAATCCCCAAAACAATCAAACAAATTCTCTCATTAACGAGGAAATCAATTCCTGACGTTTATGTCAGCTTCTGTCGGCTGAAGTGGAAAAATAAAGACGTTGAAATGTTTTTGGCCTGAGAAGAGAGATATTTAATCTTGAAGAACTCCGTCTCTTACCACTTATCTGCAATAAAGTTTAGATGAATGGTAAATTAGCCCAACTAGCTAAAATGTTCACGGCTAGTGAAAAGTAGCAAATGACTATGAATAAGTACCGTTAGTAATTCGCTGTACGGACTTAGAGAATTTGCTAACTAGAAAAGCAGAATGCTAGCTAAAAGCAGCAAAACTTAAAAGTTCTAAAAGGCAACGTAAAATACCAAAAGTGTCGCTAATTGTAGCAGAACATTAGCTTTTACCTAAAATTAAATTTATTTAATTAACAGTTAGCTGTTCTAGCCTCAGAATGGGATTAGCAGCAGTAATGCTAGCAGCAATAATATTAGCTTTAGCTGTAGTATTGTGAGTGGTAATAATATTGACATTAGCTATAATAGTGTTAGCGGTAATATTATGAACAGTAGTATTATCACTAGCAGAATTATTACTAATAACATTAGCAGCAGTAACATTAGTGCTAGTAGCATTAGCAGGACTAGCATTAGTGATAGTACTATGTACTGT